AATAACTTAACAATAACTTAATTAAATTTAATATAAAATTGTTTAAATGAATTTCTACAAACTTTAACATTTATTTTAAAAAAAATTATTAAAATTTCAAAAAAATTTACTTAGTTTGATTTCTATTGACAGCAGCTTTAAAAATTTCGGGTCGGGTTCGGGTTGGGTTGAAGTGCTAACCCGAAAGTGTTTCAACCCGACCCGTTCGGAGCACTAGTTGAAAGTCTTTACATCCATACCCAAGCATGCCTAAGCATGTCCCAACTTCAGATATATAAAATGTTATATAGAAAATATATTATACTATTAGTCCGATTAATTCTGAATATCTTATTTAGAATATCCAATCAGGTAATATAAAAACAATTCATTTTTCGTCAGAAAATATATGAATTACTGTGTTTATTTCATTGAGAACCGAATTTGTAGGATAATATAATTCGTTTCATTAAATATTTTGATCGGTATTTACAATATCTTTTAATATTATTTCAGATTCATTCATCGTCTCTCCATTTAATAAATGTATTACAAATTCTTTCTGCTGTTGGGCGATTTTCTGGGCGGTTTTCCCAACATTCTTTCATTAGATTTGTATAACATCGTGGTACATCCTTATAGATGGTTGGCATTAAGTTATTATAACATATTTCAATTTGAAGATGTTCATTAAATTCTCGATCGCGGTATTCAGGTTTTCCATAAAATATTTCCCACATAATTATACCATATGAGTAAATATCAGATGCTGAGTGTATGGATTTTAATCAAAAATTTCTGGCGCAATATATGGCAAAACATCAAAAATTTTTTTAGTTTTGTTTTAGAAACTATATTAAATTCTATTGATGGTTACGGTACGATTCCCCGAAAACTATTTACCCGAAAGTCTATTTACCCAACATCACATGAGGTGAAAATTTACAAATAAAATATATCTATAGCTAACTAAATGCTAAATTGTCACCCTATGTGATATCGGGTAAATGGACTGTCTGGTAAGTAGTTTTCGGGGAATTGAGCGACAACCAATTTTCTGCTGATCGTTTCCCCTTTGTTAATATAAATATCGAATATATATATTGTTATTTTACAAAGAATGTTGATAAAATCAAAGAAAATAATATTTACATTTTGTACCAATAATTAGCTTTTGCAAATCTCTCATAATTCCAACTCATTTCGATAGCAATAAGCAACCTGGAACATTCCACCAGCATCAATTTCAGCAGATTTTAGATAATAAACAATTGTCTTATGTTCATCTTTTTCAATTTTAAAAACTTCATGTTCATTCTTTGTAATTTGAGTAAGTCCATCTCGATAAAATTTCCAATAGCATAGCTTGCAGAAGGACTCACCATATCGGTGGCTTTTTGATAATAGTCTAATGCTTTAAGAATATCTATTTTGGTTCCGATTCTATTTCGGTAACAATTTCCGAGAATCTCGCTTTTCTGGATATTTTCGTTGTTTTTTTTTCTTTTTTACTAATTAGTGATCGTCAAGTTAAAAAAGATGATAAATATTGTTTAAGTAGTCTATACTCAACAGTTTTAAAATGCTACTACTCGACGTAGAGGCTAATTTTCAAAAACTGACTGATAAATTTGTTCTTTATAGTAAGTTCTACAAAGTTATTGGTCAGATTTTGAAACTTTACCTCTACGCCGAGTAGTAGCGTTTTAAACATAATATCCCTGTCATTTCTGTAGTATTAAAAAAATAGGTGCTTTAAGAAAACTTTTATTACTCCTCGCACGGCATGACTATGAAATAGAATTCACTATCCTTGACAATATAACCAATTAACTAAAGTCATCTGGCATATCGCTAGACATGCAAAAATAGAATCCACTATCTTCGTGTGCTCCAAGGAAGTAATATTCATTTTCTAAGGACATTGCTCCTCGCACGTCATGACCATGAAATAGAATTCACTATCCTTAACAATATAACCAATTAACTAAAGTTATCTGGCATATCGCTGGACATGAAAAAATAGAATCCACTATCTTCGTGTGCACCAAGGAGTAACGCCCATTAAGCTTTTAAAGTATGTGTCGAGCTGAAATATCTTATCCAGCATCGCTACAAATTCTTCACAAACTAAATCTACGTCAAAAACTATAGTATTTTTGATTAAAGTACGTCGCAATATTGATCTTACAATTTGTTTCTCTTAAATCACAGATGAATAAATATCTTACCCAGGATTGCAAACAAAATTTCATTATTTCGTGATGTTAATTGGTTCTGCATTTTCAAGTATAGTTCCAGAAAAGTTTTTTTTTATAACTATTTTTTAATAGAAGAAGTTTATCGGTTTTGCATTAGATAATCGATTGGTCGGTCCTTAATCGATTAATGCAAAAGCTAGTAAAAATAGTTAACTTATTAGTCAATAATAATACTAATGTTAGAAAGGTATTTGTTTTGAATTTTTCCGATCGTGTTACGTAACATCAAATCGTGATGATCGACAACAAATTGGCCAATAGTGAATCAAAAATTTGCCTAACAAAACTTGATCACGTGACATTCGAAACTTAAATTTTATTACATATTCTGGTCAAATTTGCAGATAATATGGCCAGCTTTGAAGTCAAATAATTTCAAACCTGGCCAAATGATCAACTGGATCTGTCTGGACATGTTTTTAAAATCTAGGCTAGATGCTAGGAAAAAGACCCAAATTGACAATTTTTTCAGAAGTAATTTTTTTGCTTAAAATACAAAAGTAGCTGTATTAATAAAATTTTGCAGTATAGCTTTTTAAAATTGGTAATTTCTTATAATTTACTACTGTATAAGATTTGATTTTCTAAAGATCTTTTGTTTTGTCAATTTGGGCCCTTTTCTCAGCACCTAGCTCATATAATCTTAAATAACTTAATCAACAAAAAAAAATTTTTATACTTCGGGTATTATAAACAATATAAAAAACTTGTGAAACAACGTTTCTCAATACAAATAAGCAACCAATCAAAGCAAAGATCATTTAAATGTGATCAGAAACTCAAGTTTATACCATCGCATCTAACATGTCTATATATGAGTTTGTTCGAAGTAACATTCAAGATATCGATTTCCTGGTGTTTGCTAAACATTTCAAATATAAAAAAGAAGATGAAAAGCTGGCATGGGATCAATATACAAGCGCCTTAGCAACGTTATCTATCAATTCTGACAATGTAATTAAAAATTTGGTCAGAAAGAAGAGAGAAGAAGCAAAGGCACATTGATATTCCTTTATACATTTCTATTTGTTATATTTTAATGCTAATCCTTTGGTCTTTCGTAGGCATTGAGATTTCAAAAAGGAATACTTGAAGATTTTTGGCTGAAAACGAAGCTGAAATTGCTGAGACTTTTTTTGAAAAAAAACTGCGTTGTGTCCAGGTCTTTAAAATTTTGACTTATTAGTTTTAACAAAATTATCATTATTGTTGGTTAACTGATATCATTTCATTCTTATAGCTAAAGAATCAAATAGTCGATACTAATAAACATCATCTACAATTTAGCAAGTTTGATAAAGAGAACAAGCTACTAATTTCAAATGAAATATGTGGACAAACTTTGGTGGAAAGTGGCGATGAAGATGAGGATAATAATATATCACCATGTGTAGAAGCAAGCATTAGGCGAGAAAGAAAGTATTATCAAGAAAAAATAGCAGGTCCTAGTGTACCGACAGAGATGTATCTAGACGTAGGATATAATCATGTCCTTTGTGGTTTATCGATGTGATGTTTTGTGAAATAGTTCTTTTTTTTTTTTTTTTTATATATATAAATCTCAAGTGAAGACAATGAGCATATACCTAAAGTTGAGAAAAATAGTCTCTCAAATCAGATTAACAAGAAGTCGAATTCATTTACAGATGAAGATTATGAATTGTTTTTGAAACAGTAAGTATTCACTTTGATTAGTTTGTAATCTGCAACCTATTTAGCTATCTTGTTTCTTTAATCACCTTAATGTTCAGGTACAATTCAATGGTCAGAGAAAGTAAATGGAGACTGAAAAGTGGAATTTATATTGAAGATATTATGTTTGACTTAGGAAAGCATTGCAAGTTCTATCAGTAAGCATCAGACTATATAGACATATATTTGATATTTACATATGGATTATTAAACAAATGAATATTTAAGTGTTTTTGATCTTATCAACATACCAATATTAGTAATTTTATCAGGAATATAAATAACTTTCTCTGAATTTAATCTTTTAATTATAATTATTTAGAATTCCAAATGCATACTTTGCTGTATCATGTAATAATTAACATTAGTTTAATATTACATTTTAGCCCATTACATTCTTTTATTTTTGACACTGATGATAGTTATACCTGCTCGGAATTTACCAATGAAGAGCTGGAAGAAATTTGTACAGAAAATTGTAGGGACTTACCAGATTTAAACCCCGAATTGCTGAAATTTATCAGCACATTTGTGAAAGTAGGCCTTTCTAATCTACAGTTTTTTTTATTCACACTTTCACATCCGTTAATTAGCAAAGTATTATAACAGACATCAACACGCGAAATCCGTGAGGAGCTGAACCACTCTCATGTTAATCTTGGAAGCAATTATGAAACAAGTATTCATTATTCATATGATCACGTAAAAGCTACCATTGGAGATTGGTAAGAAACAAAAAACTTCTTTGCTTATTATATTTTTATTAAAAAAATTTTTATTTCAGGGTTAGACTTATTGAAAAAAGTCCAAATCTACTGACAATGAATTTATCAGAAAGCTGGTTCTGTACTAATGTTTGGCGAGTGATTAACAATGCCTTTGGTAATATTCCTTATGTTTTTGTAGTTGGGTGGATAGTTTTTGATTACTGATATATGTCGATTGCATTGTATTGAATATATTCATTTTTTCCTCTTTTGCTATAGTAGAGAAGTCGGTGGCATTGCAACATCAGAACGGAAGAATAGGTATAGGATGATTGACAATGAGACACCTATAGTACGAAAAAAAGTTGGCAAAAGAGGAGACGGATTTGTCCGCTCTTTGGGTACGCAAAAATTAGAATGGGCGGCATCTGAGGCTGGAGTTTGTTGAGAAGGCCCAAACAGTACAAAATTGCTTAAAGAGTCTGGATTCAGTCTTCCGCGGCAACTAAAAGATATATTTATCAAGCTAGCAAGAAAAGTTAATTTTGATGTAGACAAAATCAGACAAATCAATGTTCCCAGGTTTATATATGCTAGTTGGTTTGTTTTATCTTCTTTTTCACAAAGTCTCTTTACTGATGCTATTATATTATATTATACATCAGGAGCAATTCTTATCAAAGTTAATCTCGATAACCCGAAAGGTTATGTTATGTGCTATGTAAGGGATACCCCATGCGAAGTATACGCTGATGTCAAAGAATTTCCAAGATCTCTAGATGCATTGATCACAATCCTTTATGCTAAAGTTGGTCTCGTAATACTTTGCTAATTATTACATATTCAAACTTAATGTCTTTTTATTTATCTTGATAGGAAACAGTACTGCGCACCATGAATGTTGTTAAAAGTGTAGATGAACACCATGAAGATGAGGCTCTGAAATGGTGGAAGTGCTTAGGAAAAGCAAAGAGAAAACTCAATCGTATAGAGCTTTCAGATTGTCATCCAACACCCATAAAAAATTGCAAACCTAGGAAAATGCAGAAAAATTCAGAACCAGACAATGAATAGGGGATAAAAAAATTAGACATTGCTTCAACAAAAATATGAATTTGAGAACTTGAAATTGATTATATAGCAGATAGTAAATAAGCAAAAATAGCTCAACTAATTAATCTGTAAAGCAAAAGAGTCTTTGATTATTAAAAAATATGAATGGTTTATTTGCATAGTCTCTAAAAAAATAAATCTAAATAAACATAATTTACTGCACCATTTACTAATTCAAATGAAAATAAAGCTTTGTATCTTAACCATGTTTTAATTTTGCTATATTGGCCTCATTTTCAATATGTTTTTCGGATAAAGTCTAGTATATCCTTTATATAGATTTATTCAAAATTTCGAGTGTTTAGGAAAAAATAAATTACAGGATAAACCATTTAAACAAGTGTGCATCTTTTATTATTAGATCTTTAATGCGGGGAATGGCTTTTATCATTTGCATTCCTGGTCTCGATAGTGAACTTAGCAGAGAAGTGATAGTTAATATTGCTATTTCATCAGAACTTCTTACCGTTATCGTTATGCTCGCTTGTATATTAACAATAAAATTTCCTAAAAAACCCAAGTCGAATACTCTTATATACTGGAATTTTACATGGCATGATTTTACTTAAACTATATAACTAGTTCATTTATTTTAATCGATGTATATATAATAAGTTCAAGTTCATAACGCCTCACATTTTATTCGCATAATGAGTAAAAAAAAAAAAATCATTTTGATTTCACTTTATTCGCGTTAGTGAGCTATGTATGAAGATTATTTATTAGCGAATGTCAAATGAAATGTCAAATGATCTGCGTCATACTGTATATGTTAGATTGATGAGGCCGGATTTCCTGATAGTTATACCATTCTGTAATTCGGGAAATACAGTAATAAATGATTTGATCAATTGTGATTCCCGTGATCCATTGATATTGTTCTTATTCGGGAATTATCCTTGGTAATGTTCGAATTTTTATCTTTTGTTCTTCTTTTGGCAGGATCCGATAAGTTGTTCCTTGGGTTATGAATCCGTTCCATATTTCTATTTCGCAAACTTCGTAGTTTCCTTTTTAAATGTTCAGCTATTATTTCTCGTTGTTCTTTGAGGAATATAACTGTCTATTTATATTTTTCATGTTATTTTATAGTTTTTTTCCATTCTTGCTAAATCTGCAATTTTAGTTTTGTATACAAAATACTGCATTTAAATGATCTTTGCGCGTGTATGGAGAAAGTTTGCTTTGATTGGTTGCTTATTTGTATTGAGAACGTTGTTTCACAAGTTTTTTATATTGTTATATAATACCCAAAGTATAAAAATTTTTTTTTTGTTGATTAAAGTTATTTAAAATTTCATTTTTAAGATTTTTATTATTTAGAGCATATGCGTTATAACGCATCTACTTATCATCATGTGTAACGTGAAATCAAAACAAACTCCTTTTGCGCATTAGTTTAAGGTTAGGGCCAAGACCGCATTAGGGTTAGAGAAATGCAATAATGAAAAAGAAATTTTTTTTTATTAAAACCCTAAATACGGTTTCATAAACGAAGTTTTGAGATATTGGCATTTTTTAAAAAAATTCTTGTTTTGTTACACAAAGAAAGATTTACATGTTACCCCTGGGACAGTGTTGTCATGGGACACGGACGCGGACAACGGACATGTCCGCCAAATTTTTCAATTAAAATTATAATAAGAACAGCCGTGTTAGCCAATCAGGTTGTTCAATAAACCATGACATGGGGCAACCATCACGGACATGGAACATTGTCCGGGACATGTAGGGTTGGGGCACGGAAAATTTTTTGGGCATGCCTAGGAGGGCATGCCTTTGTCGAGGGCATGCCTCTCTGTGCCCCGGGCAT